CGCTATTCGGTAGGCACATAGGACAAGCACTTTTTTGCCGTCTTTTATGACATGTTTAAAATCAATAATATAAGAGCTGCAACATGATCTAAGAATAATTCGCGACGAGCTCTGAGTTCCGAGAAGTGTTGGGCGCACATGTTAGTCGCTATTGCTAAGCATGATAGTCTTTTGTCATGTTATGAAGCAAATTGTAGCAACCAGGCTGATCCTGGAAGCCTAAATGGCGAAAGCGCGATAGATTACAATATGAGAGAAGATAAGAGTAAGATAAGACGTTTCGGTCCATTAATTCATATGCGCCTTAACTCAACACCGCAGCAAAACCCCGATCTTACCCCTCACTGAAGTAAATCGACTGTAAGTTGAACGCGGTGAATATGGAAGGCTATTTTTTGCACAGTTCGCAATGTTTTTTGACTGCGTGCACGTATTTCTTTTGTCATTTCTCTCTCTTGCTAGTACCACTCATTGATTGCCCCTCTGTGGACTGCAAAGTTAAACGTCGGTCAGTTTGATGTGAACAAAAGTACTGCGAGCATCTCGGCTTTTTTTGACTTTCTTTTTTTTATCAGTGAACAGTGCATTCGATTTCAGATGGCGAATTAACACCTGGCGAGGTATGTTTGGTGTTACGCCGCGGATCTAGAAGGAGGCGACGTGCTGTTATTGTGGAGAAAAGACGATCAGAAGCAGGGTCCGAGGATGAGTATTATGTTCATTATGAAGGCACCGATAGGCGTTTGGATGAATGGACACGGCGAAATCAAATCCAAAAAATTGTTCTTCCTGCAGATGTAAGCTGCGCTTTCCTATATTCGCTGTTAACATGGCCACAAGGCCTGAAAATGGTTCAGATATGGGTTTCATACTGATATGGTGCTTTGTGGTTATCAGGCATGCATTATCAAATAGATTCCTTTATAGGCACCCGCAGAGAATACTGTGAGGAAAACAACGCGAGTGAGGAAGAGGAAACGTATCGAACTGAGTGAGTCACCGAAGCCGCCAGCGATTGAGGATGGTTTAGATGTGCTCCGGAAAGAGCATGAAGAAGTGAATTGTGGCTGTTTTTTCTATGTATTGCTGCATTCAGCCATTCTATGTCCACCTGGACGTAATCGTACCAGCTTGCTGTTACATGATATTTCTAATTCTGTAGTTATTCGATATACTGAAATGATTCCATATGAGCGTAATATTTAAACTTTAGGTCACTAAAGTGAAAAATATCGAACGAATCAGGTATGGGAATTATGAGATCGATACATGGTATTTTTCACCTTATCCAGACGATTTTGGAAAAACACGTAATTTGTTCATATGCCACTACTGCATGCGATACATGAAGATTGAAAAAAGTTATCGAGCACATTTGCTTCGATGCGCGAAAAAAAAGCCGCCTGGAACCGAAATTTATAAGGAAAAATCAATTTCTGTCTACGAAGTTCCTGGCAGCTGCAACAAGGTGATCTTTGTTTGTGTCCCGTTTTGCTTCTGTCACGATTTTGTAAAATTCATTCCTGCTGATAATTTTGATTTTTTTTTTCAGTCCTATTGTCAATGCTTGTGCCTCCTAGCAAAATTGTTCCTCGACAACAAAACGCTGTACTTCGACGTTGAACCGTTTATCTTCTATGTGCTTTGCGAAGTAAGTTCATAATTTATCTTTTGCAAGCTTGAATGACATCTTTCAAGCGACTGCTGCGAATATAGGCTTGTGCAAGAAGCAAGGAACATTCAGGAGAGGAAATTATTCCTGCCTTTTTTGTAAGGATTTTAAGGTATCGTTCCGGCAATCTGCACAGATTTTTAAAATTAATTTTCTTTTTGCACGTTTTTGCACCCATTACCTTCACATTTTGTATATTTTACGTAGGGGCGGCCGGGATGGCGATTCTTGAGTAACCATTCCAAGACAATCCACGATTTCTTTTTTCCAAAATCTCTCGGAAAAAGTAAATTGAGGGTTGAAGCAAAACCGTAACCCAGTACACTTATTTTAGCTTTGAAGGGCGTTGTTTTATTACCGAGGGATAGCCTGTCCAGGAACTGAGGTTAAGCGTTTTTTTGTACCATCATCTCACTCTTCCGCGATCATGAACAG